CACCTTTGAATGAATGCACTAGTTCCCCCACCCCCTCCCCACCAAAAGAAAATCAATATTCCTACTATACCTGCAAGAACTCTGAAACCAAAAGTAATTAAATCAGAAACTTTTTGTTCAGAACACAAAATAAAAGCACCTGCATTTGAAAAAACATCCAATAGAGCAAATACTGATGTGCAAAGACTGGAAAGACTAGTAACTTAAATCAAGTATACACGGCATCAGAGCAATGTTAAAACTCAAGATACTTTACCCTGATTCTATGCTAACTACCTCATTAAGTAAGTACACAAAGCTCCTTAAGTGAAAGTATCTGGAAGCCCTTCTACTTTGGAACCAAACCATATTCCAGTTAACTACATACTAGCTGTAATAGTTTATTCTGCAACTAACTGTACTCCCTTTAACTAAGCCACAAAGAATGAAGAAGAAATATCAAAGGGCTGTTATTACAAGCCCTGAAAATGAGAGAAGCTAAGCAGTTTCATGGTATTATACTTAACAAATCTTGATTGTGTGTGTTAGGTTTGGATAAGGGACAAGCTTTTTCAGTTGAAGTTACACACTTAAAAGGAGTACAGTGTATAGATCTGTACCCTGGACTTCCAATAAGACTCAAGAAGGGGAACACAACCACAAGGGCCTGAAACATTTCTGCTGAACTTAACTTTATAAAATTTAAGCAAGAACTTAAGTTTTAATTCTTTTGATTACAAAGTATTGTCTGAATATAAGCCAGACAGGATTACCTTCCTGAGACAGTAAATAGCCTAAAAAAATAGTAATTTTAGGAAGGGAATCATTTGTTCCCATTCATAAAAGAAATTCTAGTACCAAAATCCAACAATAACAAATGTTGGAAGTTTAGATACTTAACTACTTGTCAACAAATCATTGAGCAGGGCAAAAGATTTCTTTTGCCACAAGTGCATGCAGGATCCAGTTGGGTCAGAAAAGTTGACTCCTTTAACTCCCAAGGTTGAATCCATATGGCAGGAGTGGGAAACCTGTGGGATGACTGCAATAAGTAATGAGTTCAACCTCTGTGAGTGATCAGGGAGGGGACAAGCAGCACAGCAGCAGACCAGGCAGGAAACAGAACAGGAGATCAGGCAGGGAGTACAGGGCAGAAAGGGATATTTGGTACAGGAAGGGGAATAATGTGATATTTGGGGAGAGTAGGTGGCTAATTTGTGGCACACCTGCCAAAAAAGTTGGCCCCACACTGCCTTATGGTACTGTATTTGCTGCTTTACTATACTCACCGTGCATTATTTTCACATACAAATAGTTCCCATTTTGTTGGACCCTGAACCCCAAGAACTGTATCTAAGGAATTTTTTTCTATAGAGTCTATTGGCTTGTTGCTCAGAAAATTTAAGATCCAGAAATAATTCAGCAGCTTGTTGTTTCTGCAGCTAGCCCAAGTTGGATGCTTTTGGGGAACACTTCAACACCTTACTCAAATTATGTGTTACTGAATCTCACAAACCCAAAGTGACATTCACTAGATAAGACTTGGGGGGGCTAACAATCCAAATTTTACACGTCAGGGAAGTATATGCAACGGCATACACATACCTTTATAATTGTCGCACAGTTAATTTAAAAAAAAAAACACTGGACAAATAGACTAAAAGCTTAAGACAGCTCAATTTTTTCATTCTTACCTGCTATAAATGTAATGTCAATCAAAGCACAGCCGAAGATGATTCTCTTGTTACGCTGGACCTTAATCACTTTCTTCAAACAGCCTAATCTCCTTTCTGAGCTATGGAATTATAACTAAAACAATAAAGCGTTGATTCCTATCCCTGGTAACCTGTCTTAACACAACAACTCTTGTTTCAGTAGACAAAACAGGCTCTCATTTTCAAGGTGAAGTCAGTCAATAATACCTCTTCTTTTAAAGACAGGGTCCATGACTTAGCAAGACATTTGAGAAGAACTCTTACATATGTCCACAATTTATTTGCCACTTCTACCAATACCCTGCACTTGGATGCTGTTTTATATAGACTTTAACATGGTTTGGTATACATTGAGAGGAGGAAAACATTTAAAAAGGTCTTTGGTTTGACATGTGGTTAGACAGATGGATACATACATACATACATCCTGCAAGACAGACCATCTTCCCTAACAGGTCAAAATTTTGACTGATGTTAGCCCCAACAAATTTTATTTTTCTACCACACGGTCCTCCAACCCACTGAGATTACAGTCTGAAATACAGAAATTGCATGTACTCAGCACTCTGACTAGTAAAAACTACAGAATGACCTGCACCTTTAGCCACCTCATCTATACTCTAACCATTAAGTTAGTTTTGCTGGCACTAAGGAAACTTACCATTCCAACTGCCTGAGTAGTTCCTAAGAGTCATTTCAGGCAATGCTCAATCCCCAGTCATTGGATACATTTAAGATCAGATATCTTGCTTTCAAAAGTAAAGCAAGTGCTCAGGCAGCCATTTAAGTTGCACAAATAGTTCTAGCTCTTGGCCCAACACCATGGATTGATTTAGCCAAAGCCAAGAGGCAGACCTGAAAGTAGATGGCTGGTTTGGTATGGTGCTAACTGGTCCAGGACAACCCATGAAAGCAGATGCACCAAGGTAATTTACACACCAGGCTTAAACAGCAATACCTTGGAATTGAAACATGTGACAGGAGCCTGAGGTGGGACAGCAGGTTGCTCTGGGAAGGCTACTGTTGGACACCAAGCGAGTTTTCTATCTTCCCAACAAATGGGGCAAATACCTGTTTTTCTCTTGCAATACCCTAAAGTAGTAGTCAGTAATATGATGACCTGATACAGCAGGGGTGTTAAATATATGGCCCGTGGAACCACTCTATCCAGCTTGCTGGACTACTGCTGAACCACCAAATGTTGTGGTGCATGGTCTGTCACAGAACCCAAGCCCCTCAGGCCCTGGTGAACATGAAGCTTGGTGGCAAGGGGTAAGTGAGGACTGACACAGCCACAGTAGTCCAAGGCCACTTCACCTTTTGCCACCCAGCTGCCAGTTCCCACCAAATGCTGCATGCTGAAAACTGAGCTGGAATTGCTGCTGTAGCATGAGGCACAGCAGCAGCTCCAGCTCTGGCACATGCCACAGCCACATACCCTGGGTCAGAGCCAAAGCTGCTGCTGCTGTCACAACTCTGTGATCTAGGCAAGAAGCAGAGCTGCCCCTGCTGTTGCTTCCTTGTGTTTCCGTCTAGATCTAGTCTACTAAGAGCCTTGAAGTCTGGATCCAGCCTGGGGCACAAGATAAGTTTTAAAGCCTATACAGTATAGTCATCATCTAATTTGCCCCAGAGAATGGGAAAAGGACATGATAGTCTGCCAACATTTTTATCGTTTTTTCCTTTCCATCACAATTCAGAACACTACTGAAATGTTGCAAGTTTCAAACCAGTTATGTAGTTGATTGCAAAAATGGGACATGGAGCAGCAGTTTGGGGGCAGAACCATCATTGGGTCAGGCATAAATTCCAAGACTGGGTAAAGCCCTTGACTGTGGCTATTCCAGAAGTTCGCTCGACTCAGAATCTGTTTTCATTAAAAAAATTATTAATCCTTATGACTAAAAAGAAACACTTAAAAATAATCCAGGCAGAGCCAATGCACTGCGCCCTGCAAGACTCTGAGCAATTCTTTCATAGTGAAAGCCATTTCAATGGAGCATTGAATCCAACCCCCCTCTACTTCCTTCCAATCCCTTCTCAACACAGAAGTTCACGCACTGCAGCGGAAGAGTCCAGCAGGCCAAACCAATGCATTAAGAGAAGACACCCCAAATGCTGAGGTAACTCGGGACACCCCTCAGTGCTCAGGCAGCCATTTAAGTTGCACAAATGGTTCTACCTCTGGACCCAACTCCGTGGATCGATTTAGCCAAAGCCAAGAGGCAGGCCTGAAAACAGACAGCTGGTGTGGTATGGTGCTGACTGGTCCAGGACAGCCCATTGAAGCAGATGCATTGAAGTCATTTACACACCAGGCTTAAACAGCAATACGTTGGAACTGAAACATGAGACAGGAGCCTCAGGTGGGACAGCAGGCTGCTCTGGGATGGCTGGTGTTGGACACCAAACACGACGGCAAAACCTGGCTCAAACAAGACTCCAGCCAGGGCTCTGCGTTCAGCTCCACACTCGGGCCCTGACAGACTTGTAACTCCACTATAACTCACTGCACTTTGCAGGAAGTATCGTGAGTTACAGAGATCCCCAGGACCAAACAGGCATTTCGCTGGTGGGTCTTAGGGGATCAACCTCCCCTACCCAGCCCCAGCATTGTTTTCAGATGGGGGGGGGGATGGGGAGCAGATGGAGGTCCGTGTGTGCTGTGGTTTGCCCAGCCGTATTGGAGGGTGGGGTGTGGGGACTGGAGCTCCCCGAGGTGGGAGGGCTCCAGTCCACACACCCCATCATCCAACACGACTAGGCAAACCCCTCCCCTCGCTTCCGCCCTCCCATTCTGAAGGCAGTGCAAGGAGTAGGTCTGGGCTGCGTCAGCATAGCCCAGGCCCTGACGCCTGCTGACAATAGTTAATCAAGCAGAGCCACTTTGAAGCACCTTCATCTGAACCGTCAGGTAACGAGGACTCAGACTGTCATGAAACCAGTTCCTTTTGAAGCACTGTGCAGCCATGCCCTCCTGCAAAAGGCAGTCTGCAGGGCGCTGGTGAGGGGGATCCTCCATTACCAGTCACTTGCCACAGCACCCTCAGAGCCTGGGTACAGCTGTCTGCACCTCATTTAGGCTCCTCACCCCCACGCTACAGCCCAGAAGTGGGCCCAGAGTTCGTCAGAGTAAGGGCCAGGGCTGTCCTCCCCCTGCCCTGCAGCTGGACCACCCCCCCGTGACGTGGTGCAGGGGCCGGGTGACGTCACACAGCGGCACGATCTCTGCGCTGGGGGGGCGTCCTGGTCCCCCCCGTGTCAGGATCGAGGCGGGGGCGAAATCCCTTCCCCTCCCCCCGTTACCTTTATGCTCGTCGTCCAGGTAGCGGACGCGCAGCTCCTCCTCCTCCCGCGCCTCCGAGCCGTAGCTCCTCCGGGCCGAGGGGAAAGCGGCGGCGGCGCCTGCCCACCGCAGCTCGAGCCCCGGCCGGTGGAGGGACGAGACCGCAGCCAACCCGACTGTGGCCCGCAGCAGACCCGCCGCCGCCGCCGCCATGCTGCCTGCTCACCTTCCGCCCGCCTCACGTGACCCTGCGGCGGCGGCGCGGCACGCAGGGCCCCTCCCCCCACCGCCGCACGCGACCCCGAGCCACGTGAGGCCGACAGCTCCCGCCGGCAGTTGTCCGTGCGAGCTGCCTCGGGGCTCTCGCGGTTAAGAACGTGTGCCCTAGGCGCAGTCCCCGGTCTGGCCCAGCGTCTCCAGCCCGCCTATGGGCCAGTCCTGAGGACGCATACTTTTTCATTGTACGATAGTTTTTCAGCAAATACTATGATCATTTTGAGCGTCCCATACAATCATTTCATATTTAAGACTTGGCAACGCTGTTACCACGTTCAAAGCGCTCTGACCGCGCCTTCGACGCCACACCGCCCCGCTCCCTTTGCTCCTACCTCGCTCAGGTTTCACCTAGCAGGGTTGGAGCCTTGGTCTTGGCCACCACTGTCCCCGTAAAATTTTGGGGGGTGATTTCTCTGCCACACGTTGCACTATTACACACCAGAGGGATGAATCCCACAATAAATGTAGACTTGCCACATGTGCAAAGCAATTATGGCACTATTAAAAAAGAAAAAGAGCCTAGTGCACTATATAAAAAAAGCCAACCAGCTATTAAGTTCATGCTTGAAAATGTGCAACAGTCTGACAGCTGGTTTCTAGACAGCTTTAATTTGCATGTGTAGTAGGGCCCCTGTTGGACCAGCTGCACAGTTGGGAGAGATGTCAGATAAGCTTTCGTGTAGCAAGTGCCTGTCTAGGTTTTAAGGTCATTTTGATCATCTCATCTGACACCCCGTAAAACGCAGGCCATAAATCACCACCAAGGGAATCCCAACTCCTTTTGGCTCAAAGAGAACATATCTTTTAGATACAAAAGGGGGAAAAATCATTGTAAAGTTGCTTGCTCAGAGGAAATGAAAGAGTTTTAGAGGTGCAGCTAGGCCAGGGCAATGGTGTGGCCCTCACAGTTCCAAGTCATGGCTTTGAATGGTGACTTAAGCAAAAGTTTCGAAAAGGGCTTTTAGAGCCATGCGCTGTGATTTTGAAACAGAAGTGTTTCAATGAGGTCCGTTGCTACAGGAAAGAAATAGCTGTTAATGCCTCCAAAGCAACCATCACAAATTCTCTAGGACAGACTTTGTCCAGACTTTGTCCTCAGGGTTTGTCCCAGTGTCCCCAAGGACATTTGTCTCAAATTTGAAAAATTCCCTAGGCTCCAATACATCCCTAGGGAATCCCTACAACAAGCTCCTCTCCTCCCTTCCGGCCCCCCACCCCCGCCCCCCATTCTGACACAGGGACAGGCTGGGAGAGTGGTGATGGGGTAGTTTACTAGGGAAAACTGGCTGCAGGGTGGCAGCCAGCAGCTAGATTCCCCTTCCTCCTGGAACCAATAGTGAACTCCTGTTTGTCTCAAGGAATAGTTGCACGTCAGAACGCTTTCTGCAAAGCAGTCTCAGTTACAGTGGGGACCTGCACTTCTGTCTGCACAGATTTTGCTGAAAGCTGGTTGCTTTAAGTACCTCCCACCAGTGGCCTGCCCAGCTCCCATTTCACCCAACAGAAACTCTTCACAAAAACTCTTATTAGTTTCTTCCTTATATTTGTATCCTGCACCCACCCACAACAATTTATATTCTGCACTAGATAGTATTGTTTATCTTGCTGTAAGTTTACAGAATTATAAGGTAAATAAATAGAGTCTGTTTCTGCAATTTCCTGCAAGCCCATTGCACCCAATCCTACTGTCACAGATTACACTACTTTTCAGAAGAAGCTGTGCAGTGGGACTCCCCAGGAACAAGCCTTATTGGCTGCCTAAAAGACCCCCTGAAACCAGCCCTGGCGTGGCTTCACAAGAGGTAGGCTTCTGGCTTTGAGATGCTGGCTCTTCTCTATCCCTAGCTTCTCCAGCAATCTGTAGCACCCCCACTTTGAAGAGCTCTTTATTTTTGGGTCAGCTCCCAAGAAGGGGGATGCCCTACCAGAGCTGCAGGCTACAACTCAGACCATTTTGCCTCTTTCATCACACCGACCCAAAATGTATTTTTCTTGTTAACAAGTCAACAGCTCCCAGCAATATCCTAATCTTACTGTCAGTGACGTAGCAAGGGGGAAGGGGGGCCAAGCGGAGTGACCGACCTGGGCACTGGAGCAAAGGGGAGCCAATAGGCACTGCCCAGCCAGGGTGGGGCACAGGACAGAGCCACAAGCAGCACATTTGGGAGAGGTGCGGGGATGGGGGAGTGGGCAAGCACCGGGGGAGGCATGTGCCCCCCCCAGATCTGTGCACAGGGCAAGGGCAGGCTGCTGCTGCAGGCTTTCCCCGGGTGTCAAACTTCCTTACCAGGGCACTGCTTATTGCAGAGCTCTACCTCTCATTGCATCCTCAGAAAGTAGCCCTGCTGCAAGCTGAGTACTTTAACAGCTGTGGTGCTTTTCTTGATGCAGCTGCTTAGCAGCTCCCTAACTGCTTGCTTCCACAAAAAAGGAAACAAAAATAATGTCCTACTACTCCTTGTAGAACAGAGTGAAGAGCATATAGGAAAAACTGTTTTGTTTTCCATTCTGTTGAGTATATTTTATACTTATCTTTCCTTTAATTTATGATGTATTTGTTCCAATAGCCCCCACAGTTATGCTAAATACTTTCTAATTAGAAAAGTCTGCACAATTTCTAGGTAGAGGTTTTGTTCACATTCTGAAAACATGTTAGTGTTATTAAGAATGAATTTTAAAAGACAATTCCCAATTACGTCAATAGAAATAGTGCTTTAGAAGAAACAGTGTAACTTTTAAAACAGCATTTAATACAAAGGGTTGGATCCTCTGGTGCACCAAAAAAAAAGGCCTTAAAGCAGCTGGAGATTGCCAGTAGCCCTGACTAGCTTTGTTCCTTCATTTGGAAAAGCAAGTATCTCAGCATGGAGAATCTACTATAGTTTTCTCTTACATACAAACCCGCACACTTCCCTCTCTCCCCTGCATGCCAACAATCACTATCAAGACTGAAATTATAAATTCACCAAGTGATTTCAAAACAAACAAAAACTTTTCAAACATTAATGTCATTTGAATGTGTGTACTCAAAATAAGTAGTGAAAAATTAACTTTTTCTAGGCAGTTTTCCTTTCTTTTCCAAACTACACTGCAAGCGAATGCTTAAATTCAAACAAGAATTTTTATTTCAGAAAACGCCTGTAGTACTTTTTCTACAAACTGGGGGTTGAAAAGGCGGTGACAATATAGTACATATAACTTTCTAATAGAATAAAGTTCATGAGGATTTGTTTTTTTCAGGTTTTCACAGCAAAAGCTTTTTAGAAATAAAAACACAAAATCTAATTACTAGTAAAAAAAGAAATTAAGCACATGTGCTTGTTAAAGCAGGTTATTCCTCTACTTCTCCTGTACCCTTTTTTTTTTTACCAGCACATAACATTGGATGACATTCATGTAACTCTTTGGTAGTTTAACCAAACTGTTTGGTAGTTTAATGCATTTTGCAGTATATCCAATTCCTCCCTTTCAATGGCAGTTCAAACATGAGTCAGAAGATTTGGATGGAAGCAGTTTTCCATATACTCTAGTTCCCTGATTTTTCATTGTGGCTTAGTTCTTCCCACACAGTTTTTAAAAGTCAGAGTAATACATAGGAAGCCAGTTTAACTTCAGAAGGGAAAAAACCAGCGCTTCTTCGGAAAAGTTTTCTGCAAAGAGAGACATTGACGCATCTTATCGTACAAACCTCAATTATGAAGGAAGAATGTGTAGCATCCACAATATTTTTGGAGCTTCTCTTCACTAAGAAGTACCTATATAGTTTCTGTTAACTGGACCCCATTTGTGCATGGTAGTAGTAGTAAAACTAATTGATGGACCTGAATGTAAGGCCAGTACATCTGTATGTAGCAAATCAAGACCAGGAGTCCTCCAGTATCTTCCCATAAACCTTTATTATGCCATACCCTATCCAGTTTTCCTTCCATCTACTTATTTCCTATTCCCTGACTGAAAGCTATGTACTGTGGTACATGACCTGCTCAGCATTTATTCCGCATACTGGATAAGTGCCTCACTCATCTGCCTCCAGTACTGCACATTTTGAAGAAAATTCCCCAAAAAGGCATCAACTCATCATGTTGCCAGCTGACCAGAAGCCTACATCAGAGTTATAGCAGGGCATTTCCATGATTTGGGGGGAAATGAGGGAAATGTAAGTTTGTGTAACAATATTCCAAATAAGCTAGCCAACTTCGGAAGTCAACTAACAGGATCACAAAGCTGAGACAAAGTCAGAAGGGATCTGAAGACACTATTGGAAGAGAAAAAGAACATAATTCCTACTCTGGTAATTTGCTGACAACAGGTCTGAACTATAATTAAAATGAATCACATTGCTAACTGCATTCCAAGCAGAGGCCCCACATTTACACTGGACCATTTAAGAGCTCTCAGCAAGTGGAAAAGCATACAGATAGAATGTAATACAAAATAAGTGTTGTAATTTCTTCTTTGTTAAAAGGCAGAAAGCCAAAGCAGAAAAAAAAGTCATCAGGGAACACAAAAGCAATACTTGGTCCCGTTACCTTTCAGGGCGTTCAGATTCAAGGAATGAAAGACATCCTCCAAATAGGCCACTAAAAATGAGCCGAAGGCAGCTGAATCATCATACCAAGTAGAAAATGTCTAGAATTACTTTCTGCAAGATACTCAAAAGTCAGGTTTTGCCAGCAGGTCAAATAATTTAAGCGTTGAAGTTAAAAAATCATGCTTCAGTAGAGAAGATGCTGGAAAAGGTATAAAAAGATGGTGGTAGGCTATTTGCAGCAGGACCAAGGTTGAAACGCAAGCAGTAGACAGAAATCTGGAATGTGCCAAACCAAAATTGGTTCATTTTAATCAATTACCACATTCACATCCTTTCCACCTAGGTTTCCCAGAAGAACCAATATGTTATTCCACAATTATCTGGCTATACATTCCTTCACAAAAATTGCCCCCAGAAGAGCTCTACT